CGTTTATCTCAATTTAGAAATTTTTGACGAAAATTGACTTTTTTGAGTGGGGGAGGGGTCCTTAAAGATCTGGATGGTTTAAACATCAGAATAATTCAGAAAGTCGAAGTAACTGAAGGAAAAGATTCTCATAATATTTTTCTGAAAATACAAAAAAGCCTAACTTTTTGTATTTCGATCAAAGGTAATACTTTTGAAGAGTACTATTGAAGATTGTTCGTATAAATAAGAACTGTGTATGCACCTATGATTTAAAAAGCAATTTGTTGATAAAGTTAAATAAAACAATAAAGATATGCGAAAACACTGTTGAGATACACTGTATTCGATATTTATCCAGTTCATCGAACAATAGATGAACCAAGGAAATTTGATATCTTAAATCCATTTAATACTACTTTTGCTACGTAAGTTATAGTAGCTAAAATTAATTTTTTCTTTCTACAACGCAAAAAGGAAGAACTATAAAATAATATTAATGATTAATATTTATAAAAAAAAAATTCAAAGCATAATACCTATTCATCATATGTTCTGATCTTGTTGTTTGATTACGTTGAAATAAACTTGATTTACGACGTGATTTCTAGATATTTCAAACATTGTAGTAAAACATAAACGAAAAAAAGATGTGCCAAACATACATCAAGCAATGTTATTTGTTCATTTGCTTCCACTAATTTATTTTGATAACTAAGAAGACCACTGTACCAAAGCATAAGTGTTGAAAAGATAATCGTCGAGAACTTTACTCCTTGGTCAACATATCCGTACCTGGATTAAATATCTATGAGATTTCTGTTCGAAAATTTCAATTTAAATATACCACATATTATTGAGTACTTCTTGTACAGCTCGTTGAGCAATAAATTGTTTAGCTTCAGCTTTTATAGCTAATTCTAGCCATGTCACATTACCATAAGCCGGTATTTTTCGTATAATTGCTGTGATACATTCACGAGCATTCGTTTGATGAAATTTATTAAGAATTTGTACAGCTAAATTTTCAAATTCATCAGCTGATTGATAATAAGCATTATCATTTGTTTCCCGACCGCGTCTTCTATAAATTAATACAGCAATTAATGCAGCACCTAAGTAAGAGGTGTTTTACTATATGAGTGCATAAGAGAAAGAAAATTTCACTTACAGATTTTATTTTTGCCACGAGCCCAAAACATTAGACTAAACTCATGTTTGTCTGTTATTATAGACCAGAAAAAAAGTTCTCTATCAACATCTATATGACAGTGAGAACAACATGTTTGACCTTCACAATAGAAAAAAAAAATATTAATATTATATATAAGACACTATTGAGAACAAATATCTTTTCCATGTCTTCGGATATTTATTATTAATATATGAAAGAATGTGAAGTACTGATTAATTTAGTAATCTTTGGATTATCCTGAAGGTATTCATGTAATGTGATATTTCTGGAACTTGTCTCAGATATATCTAGAGTCAATGGTATTTAATACAGACCTGTTTAATGATCTCTGAAGACTCCAGAAGCGTTATAAGACTTTAGTGAAGGAGTATTCAGTTTCGCCTGATTAGGCTATTTGTAAGGTACGAGTAATTCAAAAATCGAGTAAAATTTTGTTTTTGGATATTTTCACATGGTTCCATAGCGCTCATCGAGCTCTACAGAACTGTCCATTTTTAAACCATTTTTTCAGTTAAACTTCACTGAAAACTATCTAAAGAACGTACCAAAATACTCGCATTTTTTACATTTTTTATTTCAAAAAATAGTTATTTTGATCAATAAATTCAGTTATTTTCTTTCAATATTCTTATATAAGAGGTTTGAAAATCTGCATCTATTAATATAATTTTCAAAATGTTTACCTGTGACATTCTCAGACAATTGTTGAGCCTAAGAAGATATAACCCCTCAAGAAACCGGTTTGATTCTGCCAAAAATGTATCAACTTGCATTAGCTCGATCATTTATTGTACGATTTTACGTGTTTTTATTCGTCATACGATAGAAAAAAGTTACGTATCTATTTAAAAAAATTCTTTACTACTGGTGAAAAAAATTCACTTTTTCCTTTATCAGTGCACCAAAATCAGAAAAACGGGACGGCATTTCGAGATTTTGTTTGTCAAAAGTTTATCTTTATGGAAAATAAACATCATATTCGAACTCAGTGCCTCAAAATACACTGAAATTTCTCGACATTATCAAACAAAACTCCCGACAAAACTTCGCCCTTAGAAGTACCATAGGGAAATATCGAGAGAAAAATCTCCTGTCGAAGGAAGCACACCGAAATTTTGCCGAGACTTTTGTTTGCTGATGTCGAAAATTTTCAGTGTATTTTGAGGCTCTGAGTTCGCATATGATGTTTATTTTCCATAAAGATAAACTTTTGACAAACAAAATCTCGAAATGTCGTCCCGCTTTTCTGATCTTGTTACACTGATAAAGGAAAAAAATTCATTTTTTCACCAATAGTAAAGTGTTTTTTTAAAACAGATATACAACCTTTTTTTCATCATATGACGAATCAAATCAAATAGTAAATAATCGAGCTAGCTAGGGTTGACACATTTTTGGCCGCACTCAACCGGTTTCTTGAGAGATTATATCTTCTTAGGCTCAACAATTGTCTGAGAATGTCACAGGTAAACATTTTGAAAACTAGATGGTATTCGAGTTTCGACTCGAATACGAAATGCGGTGCGAAGCACGAGTCTCTCGAATCTTGGAAAAAACGAATTTCGAATCGAAATTCAACAATCGCTGTAAATATCATCGGAATTCGTTCTCACATTCTACGTCAAAGTTCAAACATAATTGAGGTTGTTTCTGAGTTAGGGAAAATCAATAAAAAAACATTTTTATCGATCAGCTGATCTAACCTAGATCCGACAAGAAGTCATCCATTATAAAATTCATCACTACAGAAACTCTGCCAAAGCGTATTAACAGACTTCTCGAAACCGTTGTTTATTGATCGATTAATTATCTCAATGATTCATTATCTATTCTCAGATGTATTAACAGCTGTTTCACATATGACAAATTGTAAGTGGCGCCTAACTTTGTTTTATTTTTTCGACTTTAATTATCTCAAAATGTAAGGCAAATAAATAGTTTCATATTTGTAATTTTTGGAAGCTGATTATAAGAAAACGAAACATGTTCAGAACAATATCGATAAAAACGGTACCAGTTCGATCTCAATACTTTGACTTCGCGTTGAAACGAGCTTTCTGTGAGTTTCCATTCTCAAGATCATCGCACCAGAAAAAGACAACTTTTGATGCGTACCTCTAGTAAGAAAACTAGATGGTATTCGAGTTTCGACTCGAATACGAAATGCGGTGCGAAGCATGAGTCTCTCGAATCTTCGAAAAAACCAATTTCGGGTCGAAATTCAATAATCGCTTTAAGTATCATCGGAATTCGTTCTCACATGCTACGTCAAAGTTTAAAGATATTTGAAGATGTTTCTAAGTTAGGGAAAATCAATAAAAAAACATTCTTATCGGTCAGCTGATCTAACCTACATCCGACATGAAAGTAATCCATTATAAAATTCATCACTACAGAAACTCTACCAAAGCGTATCGACAGATTTCTAGAAACTGTTGTTTATTGATCGATTAATTATCTCAATGATTCATTAACTGTAATCAGCTGTATCACAGCTGTCTTATATTCAAAAAAATAAAAAATTGCGCCTAACTTCTCTTCCACTTTTCGTTTTAATTATCTCAGTGCAAAATTTTGTCAAAATCGTGTTTTTGGAACGGTATTTTTGTGCGAACCAAACACTGTATGAAAGATTGGAAAAAAGATGTTATGCGTTCGACCATGGTACTACCACCTTTCGTTTCAACGATTAATTTGACATCTTTGGTTCTCGACATCATGGCGTCACAAAATGACGAGATTTCATGCGTACGTCGAGAAAGTAAAAGAAAACTAGATGGTATTCGAGCTTCGCTTCGAATACGAAATGCCCTGCTAAGCACGAATCTCTCGAATTTTCGAAAAAATGGTATTTTGTAGAAAACGAAAATTCGATTGTTGAGTTAATAGAAATCATCATTTCTGGTTGACTTGTGGAAGGACTACCAAACATAGACACTTCTCTGTATTATTCGAAGTCGAAAAATTATTTTTCCACGAGTCAGCTGATACATGCCCTGAGAAAATTGAAAAGTACCATAGTAAAATTCATCGCCAAGAGAACTCTATGAAAGCCTATGAACATTTTTCTCGAGGACAATTTCGATTGATCATTTAATTATCTATATGATTCATTATCTATAAACAGCTGTATCACAGCTGTCTTACTTTCAAAGAGAAAGAATGGCGCCTAACTTCTCTTTCATTTTTCGTTTTAATTATCTCAATGCAAAATTTTGTCAAAATCGAGTTTTTGAAACTCGACTTGTGAGAGCATCGAACGTCGCAAACATGATTTGAAAAAAGATGTTCCATGTTCAGTGTCGATACTTTCACTTGTCGTTTCAACGAAAGTTTTCCGACTTTCCGTTCTCGAGATCATCGCGACACAAAATGACGAGCTAATGTGCGTATGCAGAAAGTAAAAAATAAAACTAGATGGTATTCGAGTTTCGACTCGAATACGAAATGCGGTGCGAAGCACACGCGCCGAGAATCCGAAAAACGAATTTCGTATCGAAATCGAATAAATGGCCTAAATATTGTCGGAATTGCTTCTTACATTCTACGTGAAGGTTCAAAGATTATTGAAGTTTTTCTGAATTAGGGATAAGCGATTAAAAAGAAATTTTTTTTGAACAGCTGCTCTAACCTAGATCTAACATGAAAGGTATCCATTATGAAATTGATCACTAGAGAAACTCTACTAAAGCGTATCGATAGACTTCTAGAAACTGTTGTTTATTGATCGATTAATTATCTCAATGATTCATTATCTATAATCAGCTGTATCGCAGCTGTCTTATATTCAAAGAGAAAAAAAAATGGCGCCTAACTTTTCTTTTTAATGCCCTGCGAAGCAGGAGCATTTATGTAGTCCGTC